GACATTGAGATGTAATCCACACTGAAGGCTGTGCTCTTTGATCTTCATCAGTAAATATTTTATGTCCTCTTCACTTTCAGTAAGCAAGGTTGTATCATCTGCATATCATAGGTTGTTAATGAGTCTTCCTCCAATCCTGATGCCACGTTTTTCTTCATATAACCCAGTTTCATGGATTATTTGCTCAGCATACAGGTTGAATAAGTGTGGTGAAAGAATACAACCTCATTGCACACCTTTCTTAATTTTAAAACATCCAGTGTTCCCATGTTCTGTTCGTACAACTGCCTCTTGGTCCAGGTACAGATTCCTCATGAGCACAATTAAGTGGTCTGGAATACTCATACTTCGAAATGTTGTCCATAGATTGTCATGATCCACACAATTGAGAGCCTTTGTGTAGTGAATAAAGCACAGGTAAACGTCTTTCTGGTATTCTCTGTTTCCGCCAAGATCCATCGGACATCAAAAGTTGGGGATGGGGTGCTAAATATACAAGAAGTGACTGGCTTACAAGAAGAAGACCCCAAGGAGATGAATTGACACAGTAGCGTGAACAAAGGGCTCAAACATACAGCAATCATAGGATGATGCAGGACCAGGTAGTATTTGACTTTGATGTGCATTGGTTCACTATGTCTTGGGACTGACTTGACAGCACCTAACAGCACAAAAGAACAGCCATTTGCTGTTTTGACCATTGCCTTTTGCACTTACCTCAAAGGGTTTTACATCCAGTCTTCCTGTCTTATTCAGTGAGGTACGTCTTTCTTTCTTTCTCCTTTCTCCATTTGTAGTGTCTGATGAAGAGTAACCTCTCCCACTTATTGATGCTTTTCTCAGTTCTGCTATGCTTTGCCCAGTTTCTTTGAAACAATCCTTCTTAAGTTTATCAATAGGTTGAGTTTTTACAGAGATTACTGCTAAGTGTTCTGAAATAATGGCTGGGTCTATACTCATTGGTTTATGTCCAATGTACGGAATTATTTTAACTGGAAATTCCTCTTCAATTGAATCTAAAACTGACTCTTCATTCTCTACTATACCAGGGGCAATTTTAACAGCATGTTCTTGTGCCTTCTGAACAATTCTATCAATGTCTAGCTCTCCAGAGAAATCAAAATTAAAATGATCTGAGTGGATTTTATTTAAGGAAACATTTGAAATGTTATCAATAATTAAATTAGCCACCACTTTAGGGAAGACTTTGTTTGTATCTTTTATATCATAATAAAGGTCTTCATGAGTTCCAGACTGTTGCAATACGTCACTATACACTGAATCAATAACCTGAGAAACAATCTCTGTACTTTCTGGATTTAAAAAATGTTCTTCAGGATCAGCAACCACAAGACTAATGTTACTCTTAGATATTTCAGCTGTTACAGATTTTGCCAGTTGGGATGCAATTTTCTTTAACTCAGGCTTTGATAACTTTAGTTTTTCTTTTGTTGAGGCACTTGGTGTCCTTACTAGCTTAGCCAAGAACAAGGCCAATGCTTCTTCTAAAAATATAGTATCTAACACAAAACCTTTTCCAGTTAATGATTTTTCCTGGGACTTAAATTCATCAAGAATCTTAACTACTTTTTCCATAATTTTGACAGCTTCCAGAACTAATTCTGAATTTGGTACTTGGTCTTCCACCTGAGGCTGAAACTCTGAATTAGAAATTTCTTTCACCATTAAAAAACCTATTATATCAGAGAGGACATTACTCTTACCCATTAAATCTTTAAATATAGCAGTGTATGAACCAGAGTGCTTTAAAACACTGGTATAAACAGAATTAACTATCTTTTCAATAATTGTATTATCAACTGAATGTACAGTGAGTGATTCCTTGGTTGGAGGTACAAGTTTAATCTGACTTTTAGAGATATATTGTTGGAATGAATTCAAGATCTTTGAGATTACTTTCTGCATTTCAGTTTCTAGAGATTTGGCTTTCCCCTTATTTGCCTTTGGCAACATGGATAAAAGCTTTGATAAAAATTGTACAGCAATTTCTTCTACGATGTTATAAGACAGTTTATGAGCATGTGACAATTGAGTCTGGGGAAGGTCAGTATTTTGGGTGACCTTTTTAAGGATATTTTCAACAACGTTATCAACTTCTGCACACTGATGTGGCATTAATTCTCCAGAAAAACAGTTCTGTAATTGATTGCCAGCCACTTCTCGTAGCACTAAGTCAACTATGGCTTCTGAAAGGATTCTGCATCCACTGGTTACACAGTTTTGTATAATTTCTTGAGATCCAAACTGTGGCAAGAGATTATTATAAATAGACTGAGCCACTAACTGAGTAATTTCACAATCATTAGGATGTAAGGATTCAACATAATGTATAACCATATCTTTATCTTTGGAGATCTCTGCCATAATTGTGCTAACTAACTGCATTTGAAGAAAATCCAATTCTGTGAACAAACTGTTTGCACATGCTACTGTTTCAGTGTTGGATTCTGTAAAGAAAATGTTAGATAAAAGCAAAGAGATCACATTATCTAAAAATTTATGAGGCAACATTATGGTATAGGGTGATGATGTTTGACATTCTTTGTTGACTGTTTGGGCTACCTTTTGGATCTTTTTAACAACATCCTTAGACTGCAGAGGCAAACATGCTGAAACCGGAACCTCATCACCAAATATTAAGTTAAGCTGATGTTGAAAAATTTCATTTATCACTGCACTAGTTAGCCTTCTTGCTAAATTTTCCCGATTAGTATTTATGTTCTTACAAATGGAATTTGGGGATTGATATTCCTTCAAAATATTGCATATGGAAGAGTGAACAACTTTATTAACCAATGTTTTATCAAGTGCTGGTATTTTATCTAGAAAAAGTGCTTTATTGGAAGAGGATGTTTTAGTTATTTTATGCATCGGTTGTACTTTATCCACAGGTATCGTCTTAATGTTGGATGATGCTTTATCTGAAGTCGATTCTTTTTGCCTTGGAGGTACTTTAGGAACTGCTGAGAGTTTTTCTACAGGTGGGGAACATTCATTTCCCTTATCTGGCCTAAATACTTTAATTTGAGCATCTGAAAACTCCTTTAACAGTGAGTCAATCAGTTTCATAGCTGTGTCGTAGAGTTCAGCTGGATTTTCATCATCAGTTACATTTTGATACCTATCACATGTTTGTGTTTCCTGTGGGGAAGAAAATATCAATTTGTTGATCATTTCAGTTATAACATCTTCCAAAAACTTAGCAGGAAAAATTCTGGATTTATTTTCTGTCGAGTACTGAGAACTGTCTGGTTTACCAGATTCACTTTTACTCTCTTCAACTTTCTCTTTCTTTTCTTCTTTATCTTTGGCAGGGCCATTTTTGTTCATTGAGGATGATAAATCCTTTATTGGAAGAGAATGGACAGAATCCTTGCCAACCTCTTGGTTTACATGCAACACTTTATCCTCTGGGGGTCTTTGGAATTTTGAATCACTTGCTTGTTCCTGAAAAGATATTTCCAAAATATTGTCATAAATATTTTCAGTGACATTTTGAACACATTCATGATATATGTATTGTTCCTCATTTGTAACTATTGGAGTTGGAGAGTCTCTTGTCCCATCAATGCTTGGCTTATAGGTGACAACTTTCAACATTTTGTCTGTTGTGGTATCCTTATTTCTTGTATTAGACATCGAAGAAGATATTTCAATGGGCTTGTCATCATTTTGTAATGATCTCATTCTCTTTATGTCACTCTTCTTTTCATCATTTATTTCCAAATCAGATCTTGATACTCTCTTCTCATATTTTGTGACACTGGTAACTACTGAAAAGTGTCCAGTTATTTCATCACCTTGACCCTCCTCAGCTTTTGGAGTTAACAGACTTTTGAGCTTGTTTCCATTATTTGTAAGTGGTACAATCAAATTTGGCTCCTGAGCTTCCTCACTTTTCAAAATGTTAGTTGGAGAAGTAACTTTTGATATATTTTTATTATATTTTTGAATTGAAGTTTCCATTTTATTTTTATCATCACTCCATTTATTTGCCAAAACTGCAGCTGATCCTGATGCCTGGTTAACAATGCTGCTTTTCGTAAAGCTAGTTTTAGAGATAAGTGTTGGATCGTGATAGCTAAAAGTTTTCATTGATTTCTCCTCATTGTTGAAATTGTTCTTTCTATGTATTTCATCTCTTTCTAGTTCTAAAGTGTCCACTGTATTTTTCTGGTCTGAGGCTAGAGGAGTGTGTTCATGTGACTCTTCCAGTAAAGTAAATTTGTTTTCTTGTAAGCACCTGTTTATCTGTGTAGACGATTCTTGTGGTAGATGTTGAACCCTCTTAGTGATGTTATCTGAATTTAGAAATGAAAAAAAGGTGGAGGACCAGTCTCCTGAAAAAAGAGGTTGGATTTTGAAAGCAGAGATTGCCTTCTGGGCTAAAGAAGAAATGATTTCTATAAAAGTGTTACTTTTATCTTCTTTCTGCATATAATCAGAGTCATATTTTCCTATAAACTGATCATACACAAAATCAGATATTTTACTAACCGTCTCTTTATCAATTGGTGGAAAACAAAATATTTTTTCAGCATTTGGTAGAACTTTAATTTCACTTTTACTAAATTCCTTTATCAGAGAGTTTGCAAATTTAACAGCCATGCTTACAATGTTTGCTTTGGGCATTTCTTTTTTCTTAGAATCTTTAGCAACACTTGGAAGAGAAAATTTGCGTGCAAGGTCAACAATTACATCTTCCAAAAATGTAGCTGAGTAGAGAGAAGACTGTGTTTTTTCTTTATCAGGCTGAGCAAGTACAGAAACACGGTGATAATCAAATGAGTCACTAGAAGATGATTCTTCACCACGTAAGAATGGTTTCAAATGATGATCCATGATTCCCTTCATAATTAAGCCAGCTATTTTACTTAGAAATGACCCCCCTATATTGTGTGCATCTTTCTGCACTTCAGCTTGAAATTCAGATTTTTTCAGAATGTTTTTACATATAGAATCAACTAAACTTTCAATTACTTCTAATTGCATACTTTCTGCATTCTCCTCTGCTGTGGAAAGTCGAATCTCATGCTCAGAAATTTCTTTTATAATTTCATCAGTTAATTTGGAAGCTGCATCTACAAACTCATAATCTGATGGCAACTCTTGATCTTTTAGTTCATTTTTAGCATCAGTTAATGGAGACATATGTACTAGTAGCTTATAGACCATGTCTTCTAAAAGGGAACGAGGTAACACAGTAATACATGATGGGAAGTTATGGTTATCCTTTATGATGTTATCCAGGACTTTTCTGATAATATTATCTGCTTGTGGGAAAGAACAGGAAGAACACACTAATTCTCCTGAAACTAATGACTGCACCTGATAATCATAAATTTCTTCCAATAGCAAATGATATATTTTCCTACCAAAACATGTAGTGTCATATTGTATAGCCCTATATACTTGAACCACAGATTTATATTCATCTAATATTTTTTCAAAAATGAGGTCGACTGTATTTTGAACCATGTCTTTATAGTCTTCTGAAAGACAGAGATTTTCATCAATGTTGTTTGCAAGAAAAATCTCTGATGTGGTGAACTCCAGAATAATCGTTTCTACTAATGTTGTAACAATGTCAGTAGTTTTGGCTTTTGCTTTATCTTGGTTGTCAGCAGCCAAGACATTATGTGGGAATGCATAAAGGATTTTGCATAAAAGCTCAGAAATCACTTCCTCCAAAAAGATAGTTGAGTTCATAATGAAAGACAATTCACTTTGTTTAGGATTTATTACTTTCTGTTTATAAGTCTGATCAATAGCAGTTGAAAGGAGACGTTTGTCTCCAGATAAAAATGACTGAAGATGATGATTAAATATTTCTTTTATTATAAAACTTGCTATTTTTGAAACAGGTATGTTATTTATGCCTTTTTTATCTTCTTTAAGAGAATGGTATAGATTTGAATGTGAAAGATCAATACAAATGGAATCAACCATAGCCTGGATATCTTTTTCAGATATCATACTTTGTTTTCCATTCCCATGTTTAATAATGCATATTGCATGTTTTGAAATAATTGACATAATTTCGTTTATCAATATCAGGACTGTATTACTTAAGTCTGATTGAGTAGTATCTCCATTCTCTATATTGCAGGCCAATGGGCCTATCTGAGACATAAGCTGAGTCACTACTTTTTCCAAATGAGTATGTGATAGCATAGTAGTATATGCTGCTGAAGCTTGCCTTCGAAGACATGATTTACTAATATCATATTTAACTCTATTTATCAAAACTTCAGCACTGAGTTCGGAAAGTGATTTATGAGGCAGTTTTGCTATAAAATCTGGGTGAATCTGAAATTCCAAAATTTCAGCCAGGATGATTTTAGTTACTCTTGCAGCCAATGCCTTTGTGTCATTTAGAAAATCTTTATTAGACATTATTTCACTTTCATAATCTTGTACAAATTTGCTGTATACTATGTCAATGATTTTTATGACTATCTCTCTCTCTACTGGAGGCAAACCCAACTGATTCTCAGCATTTTCAAGGGTGCTAACCTGGGCTTTGGAGAATTCCGCTGTTATCAAATGTATTAATTTTTCAGCTGTTTCTAGCAGGTCATCTTCTAAATCGTTTACTGATTTTTTTTGCACAATTCCTAACAACCTGTGGAATATTTTGCTTAAAACTCCAGAGACCACATCTTCCAAAAAGTATGAGGAATAAACACTGGCATAAAACAACTGCCTTCTTTCATCATCAAAATATGTGTATGATGAAGATGTTAATAACGTCCCCTTTACAAATGGCTGAAGATGTTGCTGACAGATATATTTGATGATAAAACCTGCTATTCTATCAATAAGAGCATCATTTGTGTTTGTGAGCTTTTGCTCAATTGATTCTTGAGATCCAGAGTTTTGCAAAATATTTTGGAATACTGAGTCAACAAGATGCTGAACATCATCCTCTGAATAAATACACTTAGATTCTTCTTCATCTTTTGAAAATCTAATTTCATGTTGGGAAATTTTCATCCTAATATCACTGATTAGTTTAGAAGCAATTTCATTGAAGTTTTTTCCTGATTTATCTTTTGGGGTTTCTATGTTTGGAGCCATGCTAGATGTGGAAGGAAAGATTCTAGATAATAGAACTCTGATCATATCCTCTAAAAATGTGTATGAAAGCAAGGTGTTATATGGAGATAAATGCTGACTTGGATTGGTAGATTTACTGATGTTACTGAGGATGTCCTGAACAATATTTTCTGTCTTTGAGTTAGAATAAGAAGACCCTGGTAAATTTCCAGAAAACAATGGGTGAAGGAGGTAATCTAAAATAGCTCCTACAATTAAATTGGTAATGTTTTCCACAAAGATATCACTGTCTTTAGACTCTTTAACAATTTCAGGATATGCACCATACTGCTTTAACACATTTCTATAAACTGAGGTGACCAGTTTATCCACAATATCTATATCTATAGAAGGGTAAGATTTCTCTTTGTCGTCATCAAAAGGAGTGTGAATTTTTGTTTTGTCAAAATGGTTATTTATTGAGTTTATTATTTTTTGGGTCATTTTTTCCAGCTCAATTTTGGTAAGAGCCTTTGGAATAAAAATCTTAGATAAAAGTCTGGCAACAATTTCTCCTACAAACGTGGCAGGGTAAACACCTAAGGATGATGACTTTGGCCATCTATGTGAGTTTGTAACATCACTGAGAACATATTTAATCATTTTAGATATTTCATCTACTGGAGTCTTAGGACGCAGTAAACTCTCTCCACACACAAATGGTTGAAGATGACTTTCAATAATTTCTTGGATAATACAGCTGGCTATTTGGTCAGCTATAATTGGGCTTTGATTTATTATACTTTTCTGTATTGAAACAACAGAGTCCGACATTTGCAAAATATTGCTATAAACAGAATCCACCATCTTTTGTAGGTTTTTCCCTGTATATAAATAGTAATTATCATATATGGTAAGCCAAATTTTATGTTTTGAAATGACTGATATAACCTTATTTACTATACATGTAGACATTTCATTAAAATTTGAACTCAGTGAGCATTTCTTTCCCAACGAGGAAGACTCACTGGGTGGAGGCATGAGCTGATATAAGAGCCTTCTGATAACATCTTCTAAAAATGAGTGTGACAACATGGTGCTGTAGCCTGCTGAAAACCTGGCTTGGGAAGTAAATTCTCTCAGGTTTTTTTGAAGTTTTTGCAGTATAATTTCAGCTTTGAGTGGGTAATATGTATTAGGTATGAGCACCCCCTTGAAGTTAGACGGAAGTTGGTAGTCTAAAATCTCAAGCAGTATGCCATTAGTTATTTTTTCTGCTACTGAGGTATTGTCATATTTTGGGTTATTACTAGAGGTTAATTTCAATGTATAGTGCTGTAAGACATCATTATAAACTGAGTCAACAATCTTACTAATAGTTTGTTTATGAACTGGTGGAAAACACAATTTTTCTTCAGCATTCCGTAAAACAGTGACCTGTGAATTATTAAACTCATTCACCACAGAATTGACAAATAATGTATTTATGTCATTAAGCCAGGCCTCGTTGATGTTTTCATTTTTGCCCCACAGTGAGGTAGAGAGATTGAAAAATAGTTCTGAAATTATTTCCTCCAAAAAGGTGGCAGAATAAACCCCTGTATTCATGCCTCCTGGATGAAGCATGCTATTGATGACTGTTGTGTTCATTTGCTTTGCTCCATGCTCTCTAAAAGTAGACACAGATGATTTTACTGAAAATGTCTTGCCAAATGGTGCTTGTATTTTGGATCGAACTCTTCTGGGATTATTCATGGATCCTTTCAAAGGATTACTATCAAAACTCATAAATCCTAAAGATTTTTGATCAGGTTGGAATTCTGTGAATTCTGGACACTTGACTTTCAAATGCTTGTCTGCAAAAGGTGGACTTTCAGAGGTATGTTGATTGCTGTGTGATAGTTTTTCCATCAATGATTTAACCAACCTGTGTGAAATAGTAGTAAGCAGAAAGTCTGATGACAGTAAGTCTTGATCTATTCCTGCCCAAATTTCCATAAGATCTGGCATGAAATCTTCTTGAAATGGTTGATAGTCCAATGTTTGTTTGCAATAATCAAATTTTTCATATTCTATGTTTTTAAAAAGTTGATGTTTTTCTGCTATTTCATTAGAAAGAGTGCCATCATTATCAAGGCAGCCAGTGCTTGTGTATTTTTCCAAAAGTGTTCTAATAAGTTTCTCACAGACGACATTCAGAAGAAAAACTGACTTTGGTGAGAGCCCTAGGTTATTTCCATTTGTGCTGTTATCTTCCTGATTACATGAGGATGGAAAAAATGTCCTTGATATTTTACCAGAATCGAGAGCTACATCTGGACATTCATCTGGCAAAAATACATCCAAAACAATATCAAAAACTTTATTCACTACTTCTTTGGATTCATGAGTTTTTAAGTTACCAACCAAACTATCTAACTTACTTGCTAGATAATTTAATTTATTTTTTTGAGTGATTTGATTGATTTTATGAGTAGATGATCTTGAGTCTCTGGTATCTGTCTGTCTTTCCATGGCATTGATTTTGTTGCAGGTGGGCACTCTTGGACTTTTAAGCATGGAATATGATTTGTTTCTTCCATTTGTCTCAAGGCAATGATTTATTCCTATTTTTTTGGACAGTATATGAATCACTCCTATTAAGAGATCCTGAAAGATATCATCAAAGTCAGCAGACGTTACTTCTGAGCAGTAAATGTATTTTATTTTCATAGAAGTAATTTGCTGTGCAATGTCAGCCATTATAATGTTATTGTTATAAAGAATTTGAATAATCATTTCAGAAATGCTTAAAGCAACTTCACTAATAGAAATTGACCTACTCTCAAATACTTCAGAATGAATTGAAATAATCTTACTAAATGTTGCATCTTGACTTTCCAATTCATTCACATTTTCTCTGTCTTCTTTGATGTCATCAAAAATTCTTGAAATTATATGGTAGATGACCAACTCAGTGAGATGCTCACATAATTGATTAAGTGAATAATTATTGTGTATGGTTTTTAGAGGCTGTTTTGATCCATATTTTTTCCTTGATGATGTAGAAACGATAAGATTTTCATTGCTGCAAACTTAAAAAAGATGATCATTTTTAGTACATATTATGAAAAATTCAATCTATTGTAACTATTTACATGTACAGTTTACCTTAGGAGCAACTTTCTAGGTAAAAGTAAATTCTAGTAAAGGCAGGAATTGGATTTTCTTAAAATATTTATTTCCCACTTTGTGAAATCTTTATTTTAGCTTGGAAGTTCAGAAAACTAGCACCAATAACTTAAATCTCTAGGTCCTGATTTCCGCCTTGATTGGATTGTTATAGACTGATTGAGTCTGGAAATCCTGGGGTAAAGAAATAATTTTTAGGTTTGGACTACATCCTAGCATGTCTTCTACGTGATTTGTGGAACCCCTCATGCAATTATTCTTTAAAATATCTTTAGTTACAACATTTCATGTGTTACCTTTCGGAGGGAATGAAATCATGTTGTCATATCAACTTGACTAAACTAAGTGTTGCCATTTCAAAAACATTAGGGGTAGACTGCAGCCAGATTATAAACCTACTGCTATCGAGTCGATTCTGACTTACAGGAGCCCTATTTTTATAGCCTGTCACTAAGATGAAGGGCCAGCACAGATAGCCACAGGGTCCTAGACTTTGTTTTCTACACAGGAATATTTTATGTCAATCATATACCTATTTGGCATAGTTACCTTCTGGGGAGTTGCAGCCATAACAACATATGTTGTTTTTTTTTTCTTAGCATTTCCTCAGAATTTAACCATCTACTATAACTCCCCAGGGTCCTGGCATGGTGCTATGGGTTAATGTGTCGGACTGCAAAGCTGGCTTGAACTGCAAGTGGTTCAAGTTCACCAGCCAAATCCGCAGAAACCCTATACAGGGTCGCTATAGTTCAGAACCGACTCAATGGCACTTAATAACAATTACAACTCCCAGTCAGATAATATTTCAACCTTCTTTAAGCAGAGTTTAATACATCTTATAGTCCCAAATGAAATCATGCTATGGAGGAGAGAAATTAGATCTTCATTTTTATGCTCTGCAGAGCCCAGAGCAGTGTGTTTAAAGGATAGGTTGTTGTTTTTTTTAAGTGCTGTGGAGTCGATCCTGACCCAAAACAACCCTGTATGGGGTTTCCAAGGAGCAGCAGTTCAACTGACTTTGCAGTCTGACCCATTAGCCCACAGCACCACACCAGGGCTCCTTTATCCTCTTTTCTATCTTTACCTCTATTCGTAAATTTAGTATGTATTAGTTTAGATTAAACCATTGGCCCTAAGAGATGTGATGTAAGAGTAATTTCAGCAAAGAAAAAAATGTCAGCTTAGAAATATTAATCAAAAGGTTTGCATTTGGACATAGGTGTCTTCATATTTTTAAGTAATGATATTTTCTTTAAACTGTGAAAATTTAGATAATTGCTATATTACTATTTTAACAACATAATTTTACACCATTTAAGAGAAATAATAATTCTAACTAGAGTGTGGAATGCAGCAAGACTTTGTGGTAGTTGGAGGCTTTAAGGTGAACTTTAGACAGCATTTGACCTTGCATAGATGAAGGCAATATATTCCAAGTGGACAAAGACAAATAAAGGTCCCGAGAGATCACTGAGAATAGAGAACACATTTGATTTAAAAAAAAAAAAAAACAAAACAAAAAAAACCAGTTACCAATGGGCTAGAATTATATAACTTTTTTTATGGTTTTATTTACTTTTTCATTATTAGTACTCTAAAATCAATATAGTTATACATGGAGGAATCACATTAATAAGCTTACAATTGCAGAGATGTATGTCTACACTAAGAGTTCAAAAGACAAAAAATAACATACTTGTGTAGGAGCGTAGAACTGTTTTTTCATAGTCTTCTATTTAAATGCTAGACAAATGATGTGTCTGGGCCAATAATGTAATGGCTAATTGTAAAATAATTATATACGTGTAAACGATAAATGTATAACAATAAATAAATAATAAAATATAATTATAAAATAATGCTATTGACCCAAATTAGAGTACTTTTGATTGAATTATATAAAACTGGCAATAATCAATGATTTTTGACATGCATTGTTGTTGTTTTTACTAAGTACCTTGAAGTTGGTTCTGACTCTTAGTGACTCTGTATAGGATTTCTGAGGAGCAGCTGGTGGGTTTGAACTGTTGAAACTTTTGGTTAACAGGCCAGTGCTTATTATTATTCTACAGTGCCATACTACGATTCATTTGATATACACATATTATAATTTATAGTTTAACTTAATACATAGATAATGGAATACAAATATCATCCTCTAAGAATAGGCTTAGAGTTTTATACTTGAAATAAATTAATACCACTCTTCTTTTAAAGTGTGAATAATAGTGGCAAAGACTTCCATTTTAAACCTTGAAAAGAACTTGAATTACTCACTCACAATTAATTAATAATACATGTGAGTATAATGGCCTGATTCCATAACCCTAATTAGAATTAATTTTTCTCTTAAATGGTGTAAATTATTTCATTAAAATAGTAATATACCAATTGCTTAAATTAACATAGTTTAAAGAAAATGTCATTATTTAACAATACAAAAACATAAAAGTTGAAATGAATCCTTTTGACTAAGAACATAAAACCTATTTAGAATCCACCGACCATTCCTAACTAAATCCGTTTTCTCCCATTTGCAGATATTGAAAACTGAGCAAGACTTTTTCTAGTTCAAACCATGCACATGTTTAATTTTCTGTCTTGATTTTTTTAAACATACTGACAGATTGAAAGGCAAGTGACTAGTCACTTACTTTCAATGTTATTTTCAGAAAAACAATGAGTTTAATGCTTTGGATAAAAGGTAAATATTTTACTCTTGACTTTTAATCTGTCTTTCAATCTTTGCCTATTCCCCCCCTTAAATTATGCCATATTTGTTTTGAATAGACTACCTGTTGCTTACCTCTAGTTTCAGAGTTCTTGAAATGTGTGACCACAGATCTGGTGACGTGTCTTGCTAACAAATAAATTTCATTTGGACCAAGTTCATGATCAGCAAAAGCAATGACTTTAACTTCTTTCAGAGTCTTTGTTTCCTTTATCTCTAGGGGTCTTTCTTTCAATTTCTGCAACAAAGGAAAATCTCCTCCACTAACTTCAGAGTTTTTGTATCTTTCTTCCTCTGTGTAACTTAACTTTTTATCCCACACTCTAGGCAAACTTTTCTTCTCATTCTTTTCTTCCTCATATATTATAGACAAAGGGCTTTGCTGAGATATGAAAAATGGCTTCATTGTTTCCATGCTTTCATCAGTGGGTAGCTGGTTTGTAAAGCCATAGCTTGACAGGACAGTATTGACAATATTTTCTGCAGCTAAACATATTTTTAGTGGAGAAACAGTTGTCTGAATTTGTGTTGGTTCCACAACTGGTTGTAGAGTTCCATAATGAAATACTCTTTGTTTTTCGCCTTTCCCCATTTCTATAAAAGACATGGCTTGCTTTAATGCTGTCTCTGTAGACTCATTTGCTTTATTAAACAGTTTTTGTAGGACACTGCCTTCAGGGACAGTGTTGTTATTTCCTTTCACGGCTTCATCAAAATGGCCAGAGTTAGATTTCCTTGAGCTTTGGCCTTGTTCTTTGTTTTTAGAGCATGATAGCATAGCTTCTGAATCAGGACTTCCCATTAGCTGTGAACTTTTAGATGTATTTCCTACAAATCTGACATACGATGGTGAATTTAATGAAGCCCTGTACTGTTTTTTCTTATCTTCCTTTGAATAAAGCACCGAATCAAGTGCACTGACTTGTGGAGTGTTATTCCTGAAACTAGTTTCCCTTAATTTTGATGTGGGAATTTTCATATTACTTGATAATTCAACCTGGTTAACAATGTAGACATTTTCAACTCCTTGCAACAAACTTTCCGTTGGAAGATTTTCAATTAAAGACTCACTGAAATGAGTACACTGACTTATCAGTGTGCCAATGATTTCACTTGCCATGATGTTTTCTTTCAAAACGTTACCTGAAGGTGGTTCCACTTGGCTTATTTCTTTGTCTAGCTTGCTCTTGATTGTACAAAGCATATCACTGACAATGTTAGCCGCATATGTAAGCAAGTCTGAGTGGAATGAATGGACCTGTAGAAAAATATTCTCTACATTTTCCTTTGAAACAATAGTATTTGGTTTGGATTCATCAGAAAATTTTTTCAGTGGTTGTAATTTTGGCAACAGCTTTTTGCTTAATGATCTCTGTTGAATAGGGAAAAAGCTTTCTACAGGCATTTTCACTATTTCAGAAAATTCATATTTAGAGATATGTTTAAACTGTAAGTCCACAAAGGATTCTAACATGTTCAAAACTCTTTCGACAATCTCTCGAATAATTCGGTTGCTAGTGCTCAAAGAAATTTGATTTTCAGGCATGGTGTCACAGATTGATACGTTGCCGAGGTTGTGTCTTGTTGAAGAACTATATCTAGTCTTAGCATGAATGTGTTTCCTGCTTGCTGGAGATTCTTTACTATCTGCAGTGACCATGTGGGCCAAGAAACACACTTGTAATTTTTCAAACAGCATTTCAACAATTTCCTTTCCAAACCTATTAATCTGTACTTTGGAATCTTCAGTTCTAGTGGACACTCCCTTAAAATGACTAAAGAATCTGCTTTCACAAGCCTCAATATGTGGCAAATTTAAAAGTGAAAGAGAATATTCTAAATCTTTTGCTTTTATTGAAATTTCAGTTAAAAAATTCTCAACTATCACCAATAGCTTATGTCTTTCATTATCTATGTCATTTGATTCGACCTGCCACTTATCAAACATTTTTTTAAATATTCCTTCTTTAGGAAATATTTGTTCTAGCTGTGAGGTCACATTCTCTAAGAAAAAGCATGCTTGTGGTTTGGCAAAGGACCCTGAACCTCTATTCTCTTGTAAAAGTTTGAGATCATCAAGATGTGAGAATTTGATAGGATGAACCAAATTGTAGTGATTTGGAGCATGCAATCCTTGCAAAACTGTATTAACTATTTCACCTGCTGCCATGACTTGATCAGATGGTAATACTTTTATATTTGCTAGTGCTTGATTTTGCTTCATCTTTTCAAATTCTTTCATAATTGTTTCCAGAATAATACTTACTATGTTTTTGGAATAGATTTTTAGCTCTGAAATGGGTAATTTGTTTTCCAGTATGTTTTTGGCATCACCTGTTGATAGTATGTGTGGCAGACCAATGGCAGTCTTGGACAGGCTGCTTCTTGAAGGACAAAACTTCATCTTATTCTTCACCTTCGAACCACTGGGTACTTGGTGTGGTTTTGTTCTATACTTAGGTAAAGAGGTAATTTTTGATCTTGCTTTTAAATTTGCTTTAAGACTTGGTTTAGGACTGCCTTTAGGATTGACTTTTTGTAATTTTTGAGATTGTAAATCATCAGAGCCACATTCAGTGTATGAGTTATCTTCTAGATGCAATGAGGTAAAATTTTTTATCTTACTCAGAACCATTTGAACTAAATCTTCTCCCACTTGCAATGGAGTATATTGCAAAAATGTGTTTCCCATGCTTGCGTAAGGGTAAGTCTGTGGTATCACATATCTCGGGGGATCCTTTCCTTTTCCTACTTGTTTAGTGTTCCTAACGCATGGTGATTTCACTGGCAACACATCACTGTTGTCAGATGCTTCTCCTTCTCTCCTTTTCATCTTTTCATTTATGCAGTTCACAACTACAGAGTACATTTTCTCCAAGACATTTTCAACTATGTTAGTTGTTACACTGTTAACATGTGATTGGAAATTGTTTTTTCCTGTCATGTCTGTCATTTTAATTTTAGAATTAGACACAAAATTAAGTGGATATAGATGGTCTGTGACTTTCATTACTCTTTCAGATACTGCATTTAAAACGTCTGCTACGGCACTGATCAACGCAGCTTTTTCTTTCGGCTTTAGTTCTTCATTTCTCATAAATAATTCTTCTAAAACCACTTTCTGGTTTTCCTTTTCTGATGGAATTTGCTTTTTTTCTGAGGGATAATTTGAACACAGAGATGGTTCAGAATAATTTTCCTTCTGTTTTTGTTCCTCCAAGGTTTCATTTGTTATAGTTAGTTGTGAAAACAAGTTAGTCTTCTGTTGTGAGGAAAAACTAAGTTCCTTTGCTGATCTTTTATCATATAAGATCTTTAAGATATTGTTGACAGTTTCACTTACAATAATGTTTTCTTGCAATAAAATGTTGTCTGAATATGAACACATCCTTTGAATTTCTAGATCTAAGTCATTTTTAATCAGCTTTAAAATGGCACTGGCAATCATGTCAGCATATTCCATAAGACTAGCTTGTGAGAGATGAATTGTGGATCCAAGTTTTTCTCTGTAACTGGCAAAAGTGGAATCTGTGAACTGTTGGCTAAAACTAGTTCCACCCGATTCGTAAAAGAATCTGTCATCTTGTTTACAGTTTTCCAATTCTGGATTAACAAATAACTTTTCTTTAGTTTGGAAAGCAAGAGTAATTAAGGAATCCATTCTCTCTGTGGCAAATGATTCCAACTTATTGAAAATAGTTTTAGTAATGAAGTTAGCATTTTCTGTACATGGGTCAGGAACAAGTTTCATGCTATCTTCTTTCTCTACTACAGATATGTGATTATCAGCATCATAAGATGATTTCAGATGTCCTGAAAATGCAAAACTTTCTGTATTTCCTTCACTTTTACAGTTCATAAAAATAGGTTGTTGACACTCTGCTTTTGAAAAAAAGGTTAGGGGCAATCTTGCAGAAGTAGAAGCCTTTGCATTTATGACAATCATAACAGCAGAATTGAGATTATGAAGGACAATATCCACCATATCATTAGACACCATAACAACATCTGATTTAGGAACTGAAAGTTTTGGAATAACTTTATTTGAAGCCTCAGAGAACATTTCAGAATTTAATTCTGAATTTTTACCATCTATAGTGCATTTCAGAGTAGAGATTGCAAGTGGAAGATTGTTTTGATCCACTGTTTTTTCATAAATGTCACACAATATATTTTCTATGGTATCCTGTATTTGGAATTTAAGTGTTTTTCGATATGCACTCTTATTGAGTAACTTTTCAATAATACCTTCTTGCTGATCTGAATCAATCTTTTTGTTAGAATAGATTTTTTCACACTTGTCTTTAGAAGACACTATATCTAACACTGTATTAACAACTTGACTTGCAATCTTTTCAGAAACTACAATGTTATGAGTTAAGATGGGACTTTCCATTTCTTTATCTAATTTATGTTTGATGCCTTGTAAAATCTTTCTAGCCACTTCTGTTGCATAAGTATTCAATTTAGACAAAGGCAATTGACATGTAGAGTTTGGTTTTACTGACAAATGGTCCACTGAGGAACAGAAAACTGTATCATCAGAATTTGGATCTTTGGTTGATGACACTTTTTTTAATGCACTCTTATCTTGTTGAATAGGTAAAGTCAGTGGAACTGTAAAACTGAGTTGAGGACAAAAAATAGATTTTACTTTGGAAGTAGCAAAAATTTCTAAATTTGTTAATACTGTCTGTACAATATCTTCAACTACATTTACTTCTGAGTACTTATCAGCACTGAACCCAGACTGAAGAGTACATGGATTTCTGTCCAGCACAGTAACAGAGGTCTTTCCTCCACTCGTGTGTTCACGGAAAGAAACGTTTGCTGAAAAGGTAATAGTTTTATACCTATTTCTACTTGAAGTTCTCTCTGACATGGCAGCTAAATATAGTTTATGAAATATGATTCTGATAACATCATCAGCAACAATCGTTACATCTGCTTCAGATACCAAAGGGCCCATCATTTTATCTACTGACTGAACAGCAGTTTGGCAAACTGGTTCATCAACATCATTCATGATACTACTTAAATAAGACTGAGAGGAAAAAAGCACATTTAATTGACTGACAAAAGCATTTTGAAAAATTTCATTCAAAATATTTTTTATAATTGGCACAACTGGAGATTTCTGTGGTTCTTTGAGTTCCACTTCAATTTTATTTAAGGCTTTTTCTAGAGCCCATTGTTTAAGAGATTCTGATTTAGTCTCTTCTTTTGGTGGTGTTCTCGTTCCAGTGAATTCTTTCTCTGTATGTGCATCTTCTAGAAATGAATCGGATTCAGCTCCTCCAGGAAGAAGATTGCCATAGGTTGGCCTGTATCGATAAGTTTCAATACCTCTCTCTTCAGATTCCATTTCATTAAAAATATCTGAGGATACAGAATCTAAAATTGAATTGACTGTTTCTGTTATTATTTGTTTCTCAAGTGGTGGGCTCTTTACACTTGTTCTCCAATCTGATGAGTTCATATTTAATTCAGTTTGAATAGCCTTCAACAAAGCACTTGATAACTTCTTTGCATGCAAATATAATGCAGATTGCAATAGCTCTTGGTGTGTGTCTGTGAAAATACATGTATCCTCACATTTCCTATCCATTTCATTGCTACTTTTATTTCCATCATTTATAGTTCCCAGAGTTTCTAAATTTCCATTGGCAAATCCTTCCAATTTATCAAAAACCATGTTAAGGATATCTGAAGCAACAGCTTTCAGTTTCTTTGGATACATGTCTCTTATGACCCCTGTTTTAGAAGCCACAGTAGTTTTTGCCCTGTTGTTAGGCATCTCTTTATTACTTTTCTTAATTAGCCTGGAGACAAAATCAGAGATTATGCCAGTACATTTGGCCATTTCCTCAATAATTGAAGCAAATGATAAACTGTCAATATCATGCTCTGAGATAGCTTTAAATCCAGAACTTGCGAACTTACTGTCTGTGTCAACACTACATAATTTTGCAAGGATGTATTCCAAAATTGTCTTGGAAATTAGCTGAATATTAGACTGCAAATTAGTGGCAGCTTGCTGACTCTCATTAGCCTTTTCTCTGTTTTTCTTATTACATGATTGGTAAGAGTGAGAATGGGCTCCTATGACATTGCATAACATTTCGTATAAGGTTTCCCCAATGCTATCTAACACTTGTAACCTATCATTTTCTTTGAGATCCTTTCCATGAAAGACACTATGGGGAGTACTTGGGATATCTAAACATTTGTGAATTTCAGGGGGAATTTCATCATGCACAGTTGGAAGATGAGAGAAAATACATTTTTTATCCTTCCTACTTTGTTTATCAATGTTGTCAGATCTATATGAGATTTCAGGTCTTGGTTTAGCTCTAGGGAGTGGAATAGTGCTTTGAGCTGCATTCTGATTTGATATCATATTGAAAATACAAGCTACTAAGGGACTTTCAGTTATGTCATCATTGATATTGGGGGCCAGAGATTTAAATTTCTTCTCAGTGTCAGTAAAAAAGGTAGTGTCTACCTTCCTTAGATTTAAGTTTTTCTTATTCAGTTCTAGTTCATTTTGTATAGCATGCAAAACAATGTTTACCACTTTAGTTGTATAAGCACTGAGTTGAGATCGTAATGAAACTTTCCTGGTAAGTGAAGGCTTGATGCTCATTTGTAATTTTGGACGAACAAATAACTGTAGTTTTTTAAAAACTGTATTAATAATTTTATCATTAATGCCATCTACAGATTCAGGACCACTTTCCCCAGATTCTAACCAGGAAGCCTTTGAAGGATCTATGTTGATTGATGATAAATATTTCATTTTCTTTTCACTCTCAAACCATATTTTTAGTGACTTTTTATTTGGTGATTTTTTGGCCATGTGGGGAGTGTCAGAACTGTCTAGAGAAGTTTGATGAACTGATAGTGAAACAGAACCATCAGGGGTATTGGTAATGTAGCTTGAAGCATTATAAAGTATATTTAACACAGCATCTGTTATCTCTTGAGTCACTGTACTGATTTCTGACACAGAGAACATCTGGTCGACCCATTCTTGATGTGACAGTTCTTCAGGTTTTCCTGAAGCAAGAAATGAAACTGTTTTTTCATTTTTACTGTCTAAGTGACCAGGAGGAAATAAAGATATGTCCTTGAACATTTCTGTTAGAATACTTTTCACTATCTTTTCTGAAGCCTTTTGTATTTGATGTTTTTGATATTGGCTGAAAATCAAACTGTCTTTATTCAAACATGATTTGCCCTTTAACAGATTCTCATTTTTACAATTTGGTAGGTGAGTCTTTAATCCCCTATCACCATATTCAACTTTGCATCTGAAATCAGGCTTTATAGGTAGTTTGGTATTTGTCTTACATTCAAAACATGTGTTTCCCTTTGTAGGTGAATGATCAGGAATGTGTTCTTGTAACTTTGCCTTTTCATCATTGAAAGATGTATCAAGCACCTTTTTTACAATTTTGTCTATTTCTTCATTATCATCTTCAGGATAAAGAACCATGCCAGGAACATTGATGGGTGAAAATGGTCTAGCTCTATGGCCATTAGATAATCTAGTATCAGTGACTCTGTACTTTTTGTCAGTTTTAAGAATAGTGCTTTGTCTGGAGCGTTTATTCTTTTGAACACCTGTTTTTACTGACTCTGGGTGGAGCTGAGTGAATATATCATCGAGGAGCTGAAGGAGTTCCACTGTTTCTTCAGATGCAACAAGTCTTTCGTTATTAAGCTCAGTTTGTATATAACTTAGAATAGTGCTGATTGCTTCCTCTATATAACCAACCAAAGAGGACTGGGAAAAAATATTTGAAATTAAATTTTGTATTTCTTCTTTGGCGATTAAATTGGCTGTATCAGGCTCTGCACTGGATTTCTTTTTGTCATCTCTTGGATCTATTATATGTTGCTGATAGGAAACCTCAGCTTTGTCTTCAAGATGAGGTTGTTTACAAGGTGCAAGAGTCATCAGCTTTTCTAAAATGGCATGTACCATATCTTCTGCAATATCACACATGGGTTCCAAATAACAAGGCAGTGAAGCTTCTAGAGGTTTTTTATCTGATGAAGTAAAATATTCTTCATTGGTTTCGTTTGGTTTAATGTGGGTTGACAAGTCTTCTTGTGAAAACATTTCAGCACATTTTTTTTCAACTGCAGATTGTAGCTTCTCAAGCATATTTTCCACGATCTCAGCAGCTACTGAACAGATGTCAACATCGGAGAGCAAGTCTCTTTTGTCAGTTTCACATTGGTCAACAAAAACTTCAGCGGTAACAGAAGAAAGAGAGGGTATAGTCTGTGTTAAATCAGACATGATTTCTTGGAAAATGCTTTCTAAAATCATTTCAGTTTCCCCTTTTAAGTGACATTTAAAATTAACAAAAACATTCTTTACATTCTTCATCTCATTTATGGCTTTTGATTTTTTATCAGAAATCTCTAGGTTATCTGTTTCAGTTGTAGCATCCTTAGATATTCTAGTATTTGTTTCAGATGATGCCAAAAGGTGACTATCAGATTTACAATTTCTAAGTTTGGGGTATTCATATATCATTGTGGACTGGTTATATTTAAGTTCAGAGGCTACAGACTGTCCTTTCCTGTGATATGTTTTTTCCATACCTGCTCTTTCCATATGAGCAGGCGGAGGATTTAAAAGCCTACTTTGTTGCCTTACTGACATTTCAGTTGTAAATGTATAGGGCTCTGTTTGATTAGTTTTCATTGTAGCAGATGTATAACTTCCATAGGCAAACCCTTCACTGCAAGTACTACAGAAACTTGAACTATCTGAAGAGAGAACAGAGTCTTCAGACACTGGGTATGTATTGTTTCTCAGCCTTTCTTCATACTTTGTGATAGCAGGGTACAATATACTAGTCACTGTAGCCACAACCCAGGTCATTATATTCTGAATTATAGTATACAGTTCTTCAGAAGTTACCTAGAATGGAGGCAAGCAAGGATGAATGAAAAAATATCACATAACAATTGATTCTGAGGCAGAAGCTAACATTTAATCTTTTGTATCTAGTAATGTATACCTGGAATACCATCATGCTTTTTAAAGAGAACATACAAAATATACTCTTTAAAAAATCTAGACTAATTTAAATTATTTTATTCTGTATTACAGTGAAAACATTTTTTCCATAAATTCTTTTTTTTTTTAATTTAAATTTTTAGCATTTATTGCTGAGGATAAATGACTGAGGAGTCAAAAAAAAAAAAAAAATCACCATAATGCTGTCTAACCATATAGCAAAGAAGTACTCTGAAAGGAGAAATGGGGTTTTTATAACCCAACAAATTAAAAAAAAATTTTAAATATGCCAGATTGATATTAATAAACTATCAAAATAGATGCAGACAAACATGAGGTTGCCTTTAAAGGCATCTGTGTAGCTGGGCTAAGAAGGTGGCAAATAAAAGCATTCCTGCTCTCCCCATCGCTTGCTAAAGGACTGAGTCTGTGGTCTACATAAATGAACATGATTGCAGCTAATTATTAAACAATAAATGCTAATGCTTTATGGGGATTCAATAGTTTCGTTTCCAACAGAAGGTTATTAGTGCAAAATGTCTAAGATAGAAAGCTTGAGGAGAGATAATGAGGTAAAAAAAATTAATTTAGATAGGAAATAAAGTTCACATTAGAGCTAGGAAACGGGAGGGCTGAACAAGGGCAGAGAGAGTAGTTGGAGTACTTCTCGGTTTGATCCATGCAGGGAATTTTAATCATTGCAATGAAATGAAATATGATAGAATGAATGTAAAGCTAATATTTTCCCGTGTAAACTATCACATAATTCACAAAAAAAACGAAAAAAAAAAAAAAAAAAAAAAAAGGTAGACCTGTACGTAGTATAAATAAGATGTACAGGCTGTAAACACAAATAAAAGGTAGCACAGACTAGAAGACTGGTGTGTAGGCTCCAGAGTTTGCAATGAACTTCCTGTAAAGGGTCTGTCAGCTCCCAAGATATTGCTGCAATTATAGTTCAGATTTAATGCCAACATTCAAAGAATATTTAACACCCTGCTCTCTCTTGACCCATTTGAGAGTATAAAGAATTTGTTTGTTTGTTTGTTTGTTTCACTCTAATGCCCAAACCTCCTAAGATTGTTTTTCATTTATTTTACAGAAAATGGTCATTTGTATGAAAAACATGTTTTGGAATGATAAGCATATGTTAGTAAATACTTATTTTATATAAATACATCCTAAATCAAATGTTTCTAAGAATAAAATCTGAACTTTAATAGAGAAGACTATTGTTTTAAATCTGTTCCAGCACATAAAAAGACATTCAATATATATTATTTTCATTCCTACCAGAGATAATTAATAACTTAAATTATTACTCTAAAGCTAGGTGTGAGAAAGAGTTTTCAACATTCATATATGAATTAGGGACATTCTTAAACTTTTCTATGTGGTATAATATAATAAATAGAATTCTGTTTTTCATTGGATTTTCATTTAAATATTAAACTGAAAAACATTTTCTTGAAACAAAGCCTCTGTATTTGCTGCACATTCTATGTATTGAGCAGTTGTCCATGTGAAAAGGTGAATAGATTACGAGTTGTTATCCTCAACCTGTCTCGTTTCTGACAGATCTATCTAGCTTTACTGTGTAGATGGTGGTGGTTATGTGCCATGGAGTCAATTCGGACTCATAGTCACCCTGTACAGGGCTTCCGAGGCTGTAAATCTTTATGGGAGCAGAAAGCCTCATCTTTTTCCTGTGGGACAGCTGGTAGCTTCAAACTGCTGACCTTGAAGTTAGCCTGATTCATAATCACTATGCTACTAGAACTAGTATGTTGTTGTTGTTGTTAAGTGCCGTCGAGTCGGTTCCGACCCATAGCGACCCTGTACAGGGTTTAAAATACACCCTTTCGTATCTTTGCCTGCTTTAAATCTTAAATTGTATGGGGCTAATTATTTTCTTCAGTTATATTTTTTGCATCATCAGGTCCTATGACTGACTGAGCTAGGTATCCTGGCTCACCTGCAACTGAGTTCACCAACCAATCAGCAAATGCATGTCATTTAATGGCTTCACATGATCAAATAGACTTGTATTTGATGCCGTCCCTGTGACTGCTAGTTTCCTTCACACTCACCCCCTTATTCTGTATCCAAAGACCCCTTCTTGAAAGATCAACCTTATATTTTTGTAATAAATTTGGACAGCTACAATTTGAAGAATCAATTGAAAATGAAAGAAAGCAAATAAAAAGGACAAAGGGGGAGACTAATTTAATAAAAAAAATTATTACTTGTTATTCACAGATTTTTTCCTATTATGACACATTAAAAACCACTATTAATGATGCTTTGTCAGTGGCTCTTGTGATACATACTTTTTCGTGCAAGCAATTTTGTAGAAGATTCTGCTGTCTGTAAAATTAAGAAAGGTTGCATTTAATTATTTACTTAGGGTCAAAGATTTATGTAATGTAACAATTTCTAAAATTTCTAATAATTGAATTAGTCAGTTTTTCCTTTTAATGCCTGGTAGTTTTTCTACAGAAATTAAAAAGAAAGAATAAGCTTTATTTTTGTCTAACTACCCTATTTCACGAAGGAGCTCTGTTAGCGTAGTGGTTACGAGTTGGTCTGCTAATCTCACGGTCAGCAGTTCGAAACTACCAACTGTTCCATGGGAGAAAGATGAGACTTTCTTCTCCCGTAAAGATTTACAGCCTCGGAAACCCTTTCGCAGGTTTGCTATGAATTGGAACTGACTCCACGGCATAACACCACCACCCTATTTCACATGGTGTGGCTCTGTAAGATAAGTACTGGACTGCTAACCTCAAGATTGGCAATTTAAGCCCACCAACTATTCCTTGGAAAGCCTATACAGGGTTGCTATGAGTTGTGACAGACTTTTAAGCACATTTAACAATCCTATTTCACCTCCTTCTTAGATAATGTTCTCTGTATACCGAAACATGCTCTATTACAAAGAGGATTAGAATTATACCTGCTACGTGAACAGTTAATCTAGCTGACTAGTTCTACTTCTAACATGTCTTTGACATGACTGTAGCTTTGTGATTAACTTGGGAAAGACATGAGGAGAGCTCGCCTCTCCTGTCTGCTAAAATTTTCTGATAATCACTTTGTAAATTCTTCAAATCTCCTACTCCTATTATCCTACACATCCTACAGTAAGAAGGGAATAATGTGAATAACTGTGGGTTAAAATCATGGATTTCCAGGCATTCAATATCATCATTCAACATTAATTTAGATGTTTCCTATATATGATAGTATTTTCTCTATATGATAGTATTCTATTATGTGTTTTAATTAGGATCATTTATCATTAAACATTAAACAAAATAAAAATACAGTTTGTTACTATATAAAAGAACAATTCAATCATGGAAGTGATAGCATGTAAAAAATGGTTAATAAAACATTGCCTAAGATTCAGAGTTCTATATTATAGTCCTATCTTTTGCAAACATGGACCCTTTGCTTGTATCCATCCTACTTTAAAAGTAACATACCCTTTTTATTATTTCAACATATACCGTTTATTTGATCAAATTTACTTCTTTTCCCCAAAGTATATTTTATTTTAAAAAATGGCCATACAGAGAATTGTATGCTTACTTTTGGCTGAAAATGAAAACCTCACTGGTTTCAGCTCAGAAACTGAGCTAGGTAGCAATAATGCTTTCTTAGAACGTTGTTGTTAAGTGCCATCAACCACTCCTAGGAAACCCTATATGAGCCACTATGAGTTGGTATTGACTTATAGTGACCTGTATAGGGTTTCCGAGGAGTGGTTGGTGAGTTTGAACCATCAACCTTGCATATCAAACTGACCTAAAGCACCACAACAGGACCCCTTTCCTAGACTAATACCTTTTTACATACATGAAAATTAGAGCATGAAACCTAGTATTAGCAACATGTTCTTTATTCTTTGTTTCATTTTCTTTCCAGGATCATAGTATCCTAGATATTTTGCAATCTATGTCTCCCAGCTTCATTTTTCTATTCTTTCTACCTTTTGCCATAGGAATAAAATGAAACTTAGTAAGTCTTCTATATTCACTGCTAGCTGTCCTCAACTGGTTTTCTGACCCAAATGAATGCACTTAGATAAAAGTAAGTATATATATACCACAAATATATTAAGAATTCGAAAGAGAAAAGGAAAACATTTTTGATGGTTGCCAGGGGTGGGAAGGAAGTTCACTGGCTAGAGGATGTTGTTGTTGTTGTTAAGTGCCGTCGAGTCGGTTCCGACCCATAGCGACCCTGTACAGAGGATAGACACATATTAATTCATATGATGGAGAGGGCAATATACAAGAAGAAGGAGGTTGACAAAAGAATGTGCAAGCTTGGAACAGCAAGTTCTGCAGATAGATACATGGCCAGTATGGGTATGGGAGAAAGAATGGAATATAAATATATATATATAGTTGTTGTTGTTAAGTGCCGTCAAGTCATTTCTGACCCATAGCGACCCTGTACAGGGTTTCCGAGGCTGTAAATCTTTATGGGAGCAGAACACCTCATCTTTCTTCCACGGAGCAGCTGGTAGTTTTGAACTGCTGGCCTTAAGGTTCGCAGCCCTATTCATAACCACTACGCTACCAGAGCTCCATATATATATTGGATACACACATACACAATACACATATATATTGGATAATAAAACCTCATGAGCAGCCTTCTAAGGTGTAGCTATTAGTTTCTCCATGTGCAGAAGAACGAAGAGTGATTGGAATTGAAGATGCTTGGAATCAATTAGTTCACTGGGCTCATGGAACATGTGAACATCCATCTCCGTGACTCTGAAATCAGAAGACCTAGATGGTACCCAGCTACCACTACCAACTGCTCTGAAAGGGATCACATTAAAGGTCCCAGATATGGTGATAAAATATGTTGAACAAAACTCAAATTTATTAAAAATAAATCAATAAATGATCAGCTTACTTGTCAAGAAAGAGACCGGAAGAAGTCAAGACTATGGCCCTGCCCACCCTTCATGTCTGGAAAGGAGTATATCTTTTTGAGTATTGCTTCTGAGTCATGGTAAATCCCTAAGTGTCACTGTGAAACTGTTCTGCAAATGGTCTTCAGTGTCAGATTTTTTTGGCATAGACTGCTAAGCATTTCTTCCAGGGTGCCACTGGTGGACTCAAATTTCCAAAGTTTTGTTAGCAGCTGAGTGCATTAACTATATCACTCTGGGAGGAAGAGTTATTAAGGACATATCTGAGACCTCGGTGATCACAAAATGAAACAGACTTATAGAATTACTTCAGAAAGATAAGTAAATAGATGAACAACAGCAACAACAAGAAGTAACAAACACAAACCTTTATCTGATTTCCAAAGTTGACACATTACACTGCTTAAATTATTCAATTTTCAACCAAATATATGCCAAGAAAGAAGACAGAATGGCCTACAGATAGAGAAAATAATTCAATAGAAACTCTTAGGAATAACAGATAAAAACTCTGAAGGAAGAACTTACTAAACAACAATTTTAACTTAGCTGGTGTGGAGCTGTAGGATAATGTACTGAATTGTAAGGTTGATTTAAACCACAAAGTTAGTGGTTCAAACTCACCAGCCTTTCCTTGGAAATCCTATACAGGATCACTGTGAGTCAGAACATACTCAATGGCAATTAACAACAACAACATTTTAAAAAAACATGTTTTTGTCAAGTGCCATCAAGTCGATTCCAATCCATAGCAACCCTGTATAGGATTCCTGAGGAGTAGCTGGTGAGCTTGAACCTCTGACCTTGAAGTTCAAATGGCTTTGGAGTCTGGCGTGTTAACCCACAGTGCCACACATATAGATATCATTTAAATTTACATCCAAAGTAAGCTTTCCAACTACAATGGAATGCAATTGGAAATCAGTAACAAATAGGAAATTTGAAAATTCACAAATATATAGAAGTTAAATTTATAAATAAATGAACCTAAATAATCAATTAGTCAAATAATGATGAAAATAAGAAAATGATTTAAATGAATGAAAACAAAAATACAATATACTGAAACTTGTAGGATGAGTTTATGGAAGGAAATTTAGAGTAGTAAATGCTTACATTAAATAAAGGAAGGTCTCAAGTCACTAAGCCAACCCACTAGAAAAAGAAAAGGAAACCTAAAATACACAAAAGGAAAGAAATAATAAAGATATGAATAAAATAGTAATGTGAAATAATAATAATAATATGAAAAAGAAACACAATAGAAAAAAATCAATTAAACCAAATGCTGTTTTTAGAAAAAGAAATCAACAAAATTAACAAAACCTTTCATTTACTTTTTCTAAAAAGCAGAAGAGGAAGATATACTTACAAACCCACCTACTAGTCTAATATTACCTTAATACCAAGCCCAGAAAAAAGATATCTCAAGGATAGACGTTATCAATGGAATATAATTCAAAGTACAGGAATAATCTCATATATTTATAGGCAATAGCTTATGGGCAAGGGTGTCAAGATATTTCAATAGGGAGTTTTAAAAAAATGGTAGCATATCCACATGAATAAATGAAGTTTGACCTTTATCACATACTATTTACAAAAGTTGACTCAAAACGAATCAAATACCTAAATGTAAGAGCTCTACCTATAAATCTTTTAGAAAAAAATATAGGTGTGCATTACTGTAACTGGATTAAGCAATGGTTTCTTAGTAGACACCTAAAACACAGTAACCAAAGGGAAAAATAGATAAATTGGACTTTATCACAATTAAATCTTTGTTTCAAAAGACACTATAAAGAACGAAAAGAGATTAACCAAATAATATAATAAAAATTATACAAGGGGGCTTCAAAAACTTGTGGAAAAATTCCCTTATCTTTTTATTCTATATGCCACGATTCTTTGAAGTCCCCTTGCATATCTGATAAGAATTTAGTATCTAGACTATATAAAGTACTCTTAAAACTCAACAACATAATGATAGACCAATTAAAATATGGGCAAAGAATTTAAACAGAGATATCTCCAAAGAACTTATAGGCAATCATGACATATCATTAGTCAATAGGGAACCAGAAAGGAAAACAAGGACAATGAAATGCCACAGCACATCCACTATGTTAGTTATAACAAAGAAATCGATAATAGTAAGTGTTAGCAGGGATGTGGAGAAATCGGAACCTATATCCACTGCTGGTAGGAATGTAAAATGATGTGTACCTGTTTTAGAAAACTGTTTGACAGTTCCTCATAAAGTTAAAGAGAGTTGTCATATGACTCAGTAACTACATTCCTAGGTATATTGTTTTTGTTAGGTGCCATTGTGTAGGTACCAACCCACAGTGACCTTATGCACATCAGAATGAAACACTGCCCGATACTGGGCTAACCTCACTATTTTTGCCAC